TAACAGCCCCTACTGGAGACCTGCAAAGCCGCCGCCGTGGAAGGGGTGGAGCGGCACTATGGAGGAGGAGGAGGAGAAGGGGGACGAGACTCTTCAGGGGCGGCAGCAGCAGCCCTGGAGGTGAGCGGTGCTCCAGCGGTAGCAGCGCTTTGGGGCCAGGGGTCTCTGCCCCTGCGCCTTCCTGTAAGCAGGGGGGAACCGGATCGAGCCGTGCCCGTCCGGAGGGGAGGCACTGTCCGAGCTGTCGCCGTCAGAGCCTGGCTGGCGGCCGGCGAGCGGAGCACCTGCTCCGAGCGCGGCAGCGGGGCTCTCCAGACACACGCACGGAACTGGGGGCCCTGCCGGTGAGTGAACGGGGGTACCGGGCTGAGCTGCTGCGGGGGGCGGTGGGAGCGCGGTAGAGCGGTCTCGGGTACCCACGCGGAAAAGTTCGCGGTGGGCGGGCGAGGTGCGTGGAGCCGGCGAGCCCGGCTCCCGGCCGGGGAGGAGCGGCACAGCCCGGCTGCCTACGGAGCTCGGCGTTTGCCCCTGCTCCGCTCCCTGCCTGCCGCCCTGGCTGGGTACAGACCCCGACGGGCGCCAACTCCGCAGGCTGCGACCGGGGGGATCCTCTCGCACCGGTGAAAGGAGCCCTGCAAGATAAAAGTCCTGGGTTCGTTCCCGGTTCAAGGCTTTCGTTTCTGTCAATTGACAGTAAAACATGCTGCAGCAGCTCTCGGAAGGAAACAAGTTATATAATCACAAAAAAATCCGCTTCATAGTGTCGGCGGCTTGGAAAATGTTTTCTTTTGAAGAGGAGGCACGAACAGATGTTTATTGCAGTGAGGGGGGGTTCGCATTGTATAGTGTAAAGTGCAGGATATTAAGGAGGTCATTTAATGTAATTAGTGCAGTCATATAATCTCAATGATCGTCAATTATCTCTAGCAAGGATTTGGGGAAAGTGTTTGATGGCTGCATGCAGTAAAATTCCTGAACTTATGCAGAAATGTTTTTTCTGATGACGATTATTTCTTCCATTTGCTAAATGGCGATTTTGAAGCAAGTTTTTAGTTTGAAAGGAAAGTATTATTTGTATTTAAGTATTTTTTCTTTAATTTTCAAACTGCACTCATTAAAGTGGCATCAAAATTAAAGATAGTGACAGGAAAACCGCTTCAGTTTTCTGGCAAAAACCCCTTAAAAATAGTATTTTTTTATTCATAGTAGCATCTGTATCAGTTAAGAAAGTAGAAAGCTTATCTTATTTTGTAGATAGCATTTTGAGGAAGACAAGAATATGATTCTTTTTTCTTATTAATTCAAGAATTGTTGCACCAGTTGCTTTCAAAGTACCCCAAAAATTATCTCAAACCGAAATCCTATTATAAAAAATAAAGGCAAATTTTAATACTTGGAGGTTAGAAAGCCCTGTTTGAGTTACGATGGAGAGCTGGTTTTGAGAGAGGTGGAAGTAAGGGATGACAGTGAATCTGTTCAAGTATAAATAACAGTTATTCAGCTTCTACTTGGCCTCAAATCAAAAGAGATGTGAAGTCTTTTTAAGAGGAAGCAATCCATTATTATAATTTTATTCTGTTGCATTAACTATAAGTAGATTTGAGGAATAACCAGGAGAAATACACTATTTCCTCAATCTTTACAACCTTGAGATTGAGCCAAAACTGTTAACTCTTCATTCAGAAATAGCTTTTAAGTTATTTTCAGCAAAAAGGAAGGCAATTATTTTGTCTGTAATGAGAAAAACAAAAATACTGATATATTAATTAGTGTCTTTATATGTAACACCTGCAGTCAAATTATTTTTGCTAACATCTCTGAGTCCTTTCCTAATCTCCCTTTAAGTTTTTTCTGTCTATTGCTTTAGTAACTTCATGGGTTGCAGTGTGAAGCCCTACTTCTAATACATTCAGAGCCAGGACCATGGAAAATTACTTGATCGTCTTGTGCCTAAAGATTTGATTAAAAAGGATTTTTCTGTAAACTAAATGTTGCATTTAGGTAAAATATTCTTAGAAAATCTAGGAAAGAAGTTAGGTGTTATATACTCTTTGCATGTAACATCGTGGTGTTTAGCAGCTCTGCAAGGAAGGGGTTGTTTGGGTTTGAATAGCCTACAATTGTGCCCAAGCAGATAAACCTGGCAAAGCTGTTCAGGAAGGAGAAGTGAGCATTACCACGTGACACTGTGAAAACACATCATGTCCCTGTTGTGAAAAACAAAGTTTGATAAGATGTGTGAGTGAAAAATTGAGTATTAAAGACTTTCTGTCAAGAGTTACTTCTTCTGTAAGACCTGTTACTGTGGCTGGAGCTGGAAGTCCTACTGCCTGGTGTGTAAGGCTTATGAGAGGATAACAGGTTTTATTAAATCTTAAAAGATTTGGAAATATTTTTTTCATACTTTGGACTGGTTTTTGAGGGAAGGTTTCAGTAATATTCAACCATTTCTAGTAAGAATGTGGTAATAGCAAGGTGTTTATGTGTGTCTATTCAGATGTGTTTACATGAAACACTTTGTCTTCTTAAAACACCTACATACTTAGGATGGTGCCTTAAAAATTAGTAGATCATTTATGTTTGTGTTGGAAGTATGCCTTGACTGTTCCATAAGAAGAAAAACCCAAACCACACAATTTCTAGTATTAACACTTCTGTTGTTGACTAAAGACCAAAGCACTTTGCGTTTCTTTTAGAGTACATGAAGGCATCATGACCTAGAGTTGTGGGGATGGAATCAAAGGCCCTTTGTATATTGGAAAAAAGGGTGTAATGAAAAACATTTACATATTGTGATGTTTCCAGTTTCCTTGAGTATTGATCTTTTGCTGTGTCTGTGTACCGTCTCTTGGAATTTCTTGTTAAAATGTATGTGTTCTGGTTAAAGAACCATAAGGGTGCTGTATTGGATGTTTTCTGGCTTTCCGGTATGAAGTTTGGATGTTCAAAACTTTCATTATTTGGAAAGGCTGGTGACCTTTTGGCTTAACTCATGTTAAAGTTGGTCTTTAAACAGGTGCATTCAAGAAAAGCATCCATTTCAGTAAAGAAAAGCTTTTCACTTCCTTATTTTAGCTGACCTGGAAATGATTTGCTTTGATTTCAATAAATTTTAATTAAAATGTTATAAATATTCTGTAAAATTCATGTATGTATAGGGCGCATGTACATACATAGAGGGAGAGAGAGAATGTTGTTAGGACAAGAAAAGTTGATTTTATATTGAAAATCAAATAGAATAGAAAGAATTCAGGGAAGTATTTTCATGTTGCAGAAAAATTACATTGGACCCAATGTGCTTGGACTTTAAACTGAAAAGAGGGAATCAAAATAGAAAAGCTTTTAAATATGAATATATACAAAACTTTATGACTGTCTATTAACTTAAAATTGAGTTCTTGGGTGTTGCTGCACTTCCTGGACAACTGAGGTTTTACAGGGTTTTAAAGATTATTCTTGGTGTGAGTTTAGAGGAAGTTTGCATAGGTGTTTGTTCCTTTCTGGCATGGGGAGACAAGGAAAAAGAAAATTAAAAGGCTTAGTAAATGAGGTGGAGATAGCAATTGCACACATTAAAGTGCCGGAGGTGATGATAAATGAACTTTAGATCCTACTTTGCCATGTGGATTCCATGCATCAAAGCTTTAACGTGATTTCTATGTGTTTTTATGGAAACATAAAAAGTTATTACATTGCCTCTCTAACCACATGCTACAAAGGAAATCAGTTTTCTCCCACAGCATGTTCAAGTGGAGCCTTAATTTCATTACATGTAATAGCATTTGGGTTTAGTCATATCTAATTAACATGAAGATATTAGATGGAAAACCTTTACCCTTAGGATGGAGTGTGAGCTTTTGATATTTTAAGGTTTTTTTTTAGTTAAGAAAAATGTATGCTAACAGCTTCAATGGCACCATAACTTAAAATGCAAACTCCAAGACCTAGAAGCTGTTGACACACAGGAGTGGCTAAAGTGTGTTTTTAAATGCTGAACTTCAAAGTTTGTCAGATTTTTCTAACAGTAAGCTCCATCCTGGCAAGGTGTACCTCTGTCATTAAGTAGAGTCACATCAGTAACCAGCTGAAACTAATGAACTACTTGTTTGCATAAATAGTTACACAAGGGCAGTTGTGCCAGAATGATAAAGCTGGGCTCTGGATCCTGTAGGTGGCTTGGTGTAAGTTTCATGTTTGCTCTTTTGGAAAAGTTTTATCAAAATTCTGTCTAAGTGTGAAAGGCCATCCATGGAGATTGTAGTTGTTGTTGGAATCCATGACTTACCTCTACAGCTGTGTGCATATGCTATCTGCATTTGTTTTTCTGTTGATTTAAAAATTGTCTGCATTTGATTTTGACCTGGGTATTGCCTTCTGTACCATAATACAGCTGTAATTCACAAACCTTGTTTCTTTGTGTGTCTGCCTCAGACCTGAAGAGCAGGTAAGAAAACTTTGATTCCAGCTCTTGTTCTTTCAACATTCTTCCCTATAAATTAACCAGTCATATGAAACTAGTTGTTTAAGGAGAGCAAAGGAAAGCAATTTCCTTTCTGGTATGGGGAGATTTGACTCTAGCTTCCCTTTGGTGACTGCTTCAGCAATAGCACAGAATTACACTCCTCTTGTGCTTAATCATAATGATAGTCTAGGCTGCTCTTTCAAATGTGATGGCCACAAGCCAACTTTTGGGTTCTTTTGTTCAAGACTGCAGTAAAAGATGAGGGTAGAGCGGAAAAGAATTTATTTTAAAGGCCTGTATCGCTAAAGAAATTAGCTTCTGGGTCTGTCATCTCTGTTCTGCTGCGTGTCCCCTATTCAGGGGTCACAACCTGAATAGAATATGCATGTAACAAAAATCTTCTATCATATTATCTATAGATCATAGACATGTTTGGGGACTGTGGATTGTCCCTGTTCAATATGAGCAATCAGGTGGGGCACCTGGAAACAAAGGGAAAGTAGTTATATATTGTCCCAGATCCATGTCCCAGGATCTTTATTCAGTTGATACAATGCCCGTAGCTGGTAAGATTTAACCCAGCCTTGGGAAATAATTTGCTCCAGGGACTACTGATAGGCCTGACTCTAAAGCCTATTTGCATTTGTATCCAGAGGCA